ATATTATATCATTGAATTCAAATTTAATACCATCCATTACAGTAACTCACCTGTAAACTACTGTACTGCAGAGCGACATCCACTTACTCGCTTTTTATACTCAAATTAACAAAAATATTTTTTAGATTTTAAGTGAATGAAAAATTCTTAAAATKATATAACACACTTTCTATCATCGTAATGGAAACTAGAATTACAATCTACCTAAGYGTCCTTCGAAAATTATCTTTAAATTGTTTTAAATATTTATAATTTATTAGTTGTTTGGTATAAAACACTATATTTCCTAATAATTTATAATTTACAATTATTATATCTAGGTACCTACCAATAACCGTGAACATGTTTTAGAAACAAACCTTGAAAATTTGGGTTAAGAGGACCTTAGTGGGGATCTTAATTAGTTACGTATTATATAAACGTATTTTATAGTTATTAATAATTAACTAAGTACCCACTATCTACAGAAAATAAAGTAAATACTTATTCTAAAAAAAAAAAAGATTAATATTCCATTTTACAATTGTATTAYTTAGAAAATGTACAAAATGAAAGTAAATTATGCTCTGTACAGTGTACGTATCTACAAATGATTTTTGTATTTGGTAGATTGTGCCTGTACTACTTTCTAATACATCTAGATGGTACTCTATACATTGTTATTATGTTTCATTTTACCACGGAAAATTATTTTAAAAATAATGAATATTATGATGTTATGGTTTATTTCTTATATGTCTTATCATATTCATGTTTTTACTAAAACATTTCACGATATAAGTACTTACACTAATTGGCAACACATAACTGCGGTTTTCCTTTTAAATATTTTACATGACAAAAATTATTAAGTGTCATAAGTTGACTAAATATTGACTAAATACAATGTCGAGTTTTAATTAAAATACCAATCCAAAAAAAAATGTTTCAATAAATGTATAATTATTATTTATTATTATTATTACCTACTTCTTCTTCAAGTATACAAATGGCAAATAAAATTATTTCGTTATGTAATTAAACATAATTTATTATCAAATGTTTCAAATATTTTTATTTTTTCATTTAAGATTTAACATTTTTATGCTTATGCCCGTGCTTATGTAAAATTGATAATGGTTATTTTTAATGACATTGATATCCGTTTTACCTTCGTAGACTTTCCTTAGGCCCATGAATAATTTGATTGTATAAGTAGGTAGTTGACATGTATTTAGGATTGGTACWTGCTTGTGTATACGGTAACCTATTGTTAGGTAGCAATTGTTGTGAGTAATTTTAAATTGTGATCTCAATTTTTGAGGCCTATAGCCTGAAAAATTAGGYCGGTGAAAAATGAAGCCAACATTTTTTTTTTGGGTTCTAGCCATTTTACAACATTATAAAAACACAAATTAGAGTTATAGTGTTAAAATCTCTATAATCGAGTTGTCTAATCTATTTCTGGTACTAGAAATCTGGCAAAATAAATATTTTATGACATTTTGGTTTTAAAGTACTGTATATTAACTATATTAACTACATTAACTACATTAACTACATTAACTTAATCGCTAAAACTAAAGCTACTAAATGTTAGGTATAAACTATTGTTTTTAATGAATATCATTCCAATGATTGTTCATTTCCTAAATTTATTATTGTAATAGTTCATATTTAATCAATATGTTTTGGTGTTATTTCCAAATTTGAAATTTATTTATAGTATGATTTTTAGTTTTTCATTCAAAATCATAAAAAAATGTAAATCAATGATGGTTCATATTGTCAGTGATTTTATTTATTTAAAAAAATCATAATTTAAGTACCTATGTTGTTATTTATTGTTGACTTTTTGGCTATTAAAATTATCTAGACTTTATAGGTAATTTAATTGTTTAWATTAAATTCAAGACTATATTGTACCATTTTAGCATTTTAGTTTTATATAAAAGACAATTAAATTAATAAAGAGTTGTCATGGTTATGCTGTATATATAAAAATGAARAGGAAGTGACGCACCTGTTAACAACCAAATGGGATTGTTCACATGTATAGGCACTGTGTTTGTASACAGTGTAGTTCCTGCTTGCCCCTCTGTGTTCTAAATAAATATGTATTATTTTGTGTAACAACAAAAAAATAGATTTTACCTGTTTAATAAACCAGCTCTATTTTAGTTCATTAACAAATGAATTAAATTCAATGTATACAAATAATTCTAATTTCTAAGCATAATATTCTGACAGTAAACATAATTATTCCAGTAAAATATTAAAGAATTATTATTCTTCCAATCGTAGGTGGTATTAGGTACATTTTTAATATGACACATATTGTATAAAAGGTTTAAAAATATTTAGAACTTTTAGTGAKAAATTATTTATAGGTATATGCGAGCATATGTATTATTTTGTAAATTTAGTGTTCTTGTATGAAAATTGGAAACTATTAATGATGTTTTGTCTTTTGTGTTTTTAATTTTTGATGCTATAATTATGGATTTTACATTATTATTATTTATTAAATTATAAACTAATTGATAGTATACAGGAGATTTCAAAAATATCTAATTTTTTTATGTGGTGGATGAATAGGTTATTCGACATAAACATAATAAATATTCATGGAACACATCATTTTGTATATATCTACTTATGTTATAAAATAAGTAGTTTTTAATTTTATACAATAATATTTTACTAACAATTATATTTATTTATGTTTTAGGCTCCAGGAGAAAGCAAGATACCTGTGCTTCATTCTAACCAACTGAGATCTCGATTTTCTAATATTTCAAGTAAAGTCCGTTCACATCTTGATGGTTCCTATCGCACGTCGTCTCCATCTATGCTGTTTGGACTTTTTAGCAATACTGAAAATAAAGTGCATCCACCCACTCGTCCATCTTCACTTTTTAAGCCTACTAGTCGTACCACAGTGACTGAAAAAGATGTCGGAAGTTATGTTGATTTGACTCGCCATTCGAAAACCGGYATTCTTAGGTATTTTGGTAAAACTGTCCTGGGTCCTGGGGATTGGTGTGGAGTAGAAGTTGAAAATGGACATGGAGTTTGTGATGGATCTATATGTGGAGTAAGATATTTTTCTTGCCGTGATGAATGTGCATTGTTTGTCTTGGCACATTTGGTACGTATATCCAAATGTCAAAATGTTATTGAACACAAAACAGAAGCTGAAATTATGTTTGACAATGGCTGTACCTCCACTTTGGAAAATTTGGATTCAGATATTCTTAAAACAGAATTTCCATTTGAATGCACTGACAGCCTTGATATACTATCACCGGATCAAATGGTTGAATTTAGAGGTGATGAGGCAAATTATGACGTTCCAGGTCTTCTTTTTAAGATGTCACCTCATCAATTAACAGAAGTATGTAAATTAATTTAAAATATTATTCAAAAACATTAACTTAATAATTATATTTGTATTATGTTTCAGTGTATTTCTGACGGAGATGTCACTATGAATGATTTAGAAACGATTTCTATGCCTAAAGAYGACGATTTAGTTTCTCCAGTTCTGTCTTCAGAACCCTCTAATCATACTATATCTGAACATGATAGTGCAAGTGCCTATCCAAAACGCTCAACTGTTTCTTTTGGACATGTTTTTTATGATAATTTTACAATTGATCGGACTCCATCGTTAGAAGATTTGCCCATGGATGATTTTTCGTCAAAAACAACAACTGAAGTGGTACCAGTCCCTAGTATTCCTACAATAAACACAGTAGTTACAAGCATAACCAGCGTTAGTAGTCTTGATACTGGTTATCAAGGTGATTGTGAAACTAGTCGTCCTACCAGTCGTGGAGCTATGGTTAAACGAATTGGACCAACCGAACCAATGACAGATTCAGACTTTTTCACTGAGAGTGAAGCAGAAGATCATTGTCATCGTAAAGCTATAGTTATTGATGGTACATTATACTCTGGCGATGGTATCAAACCTGAAACTCAACCAGATAATCAAAACCATCCTGGTCCCACTATTGAGGAAATGGACTCAAGCGGTATTTACTCTGATTTTGACAGAATATTTGAAGAGCCACCTGCGTTCAAAGACAATTCAGAACCAGTTTCTTCAAATAATTCAACTTCTCCCTCWTCTGTTAACAGYCAACAAATTCATTCAGTTKCAATTGATCAACCATCTACTTCAACCATATCTGAATGTACAGAAGATGCATCTAGTCCTGCTAGTAAACGTTACAAACGACCTACACCTGTGAAACCAAAAACCTTGGAGGTACGACAAGATCAGGAAAATAGAGCACCAAGAATTAGAAAACCAGCAGGCCGTTGGGATGCTGTAATGAATAAAATAGAAAAAAGTAAAACTGATCAGAAAAGCCGTGTCAATCGGTTGAAGGATGTCAAAAGCAAGATAAATTCTATTAATCCATTAACAGTACCATTTACTAACAGGTTAAAAGATTCTCCCACTAATAGTGAACCATTGCCTGTCAGATCTCATCTTCATAGAGAAAATACACCATTGAAAGCTAAAAGGTATTTAAGTGTATAATAACCTAACTTTTATAATTAATCTAAATAATATTTAATATTWTTTTCCAGCCGTAGAACTAGAGGCCGTGGGGGATCAGAATCCAATTTACCAATGTCAGACCAACCACCTAATTCTTCTAGGCAGAGGTGTATTCCTAAGAGTTCTCAAAACAGTTCGAGAGATAGTTCTTTTAGCGATCTCAGTGGAGAAACCAAAATTACTTTGAAACAAGCTACATCACATCCTTCTCTAGCCAGTAAGTAATACATATTATAAATTTGAATGGTAGGTATAAAAAAGTATTAATATATTAATATACAGAGTGTAAAATAAAAAACTCACAAATATAATTAATTACATTTGTATTCATTTTTACCCTAATCAGCGGGAAAAAATTATATAATCATTTTTTCAAATAATTTTATTTAAAGTAAAAGTTAGGTACTTTATGTTTAGTTAATTAATAATTATTTTAATTAGTTTATTCAGTGGCGATTTATATTATGTTATAAAGGACGATATTCTAAACTATTTAAAAAAAAATGAGGATTTGTTGAATAGAGAGAATGAGAAAGAGTGATAAATTTTAAGTTATATTATTTTTATTGTTTGAAAATATATTATTTAAGATTACCTAAAAATTCCTTAACATAAAATAGTAGATAAACTTGATCAACCTTACTATAATATTATCAAAAACAATAATTTAATTTTAGAAAATTGGTTGAAAAAAATTTTAAATTGAAATCATTTATATTTGRCGAAAAATTAATTATTAGCATTAATATTAAAAACATTTACATATTATATTTTATCTTGTTGAATAAACACAATAATAGTTGTTACAAAATTAAAATCTTTCATTTTTATATAAATGCATATAAACTTATGATGTAATATTATTCAAGTAAATTGAATATTGAATGATGGTTTAAAAATAATTAATATATTTTAAATACACAACTAATATATTATAATAATATATAAGGTGCTCGTGATGTCTAATTAATAAAGGGCAATATGTAATCTCCTTGACGCCGACCGTGGTCTTTGTGTCAGCCGTAAATGATGATTGGTGCACCAATTTTAGTGCAGTTATAAGTAATATTGTGTAGGCAGTAGATATCCTTTTATCTATGCACGCGTGCACAAATAATCACAACTCCACTGCGAACAAAAAAATGAATGAAAATGTTTGTTTATAAAATAGTGTTTGCAAATAAATATACCTGCGTTATAGGCAACCTAACATACTTTARTAAGCTTTTTGTAGTATATCTTTATTTGTAGTGGAACTTACTATACTACATATTGTATTGTCAATATATTTTATTGAGYGGCTTGCTGCAAGTGACCTATTTTTTTTGCTTAAAAACATACTTTACAAAAAATACTCTTCCGTCTTGTAGAGTGATCTAATTTCAACATTTTTTTTTTTTTTGTCAGAAAGAGAAACATTTCTTACAAGGCGCATTGGATTTTCAAAATACTATTACCATATTAAAATACGATTTTGGAGTTGGCCATTTTTCGCAAACTTTTATTATTTTTATCATGTTTGTTTTAAGCAATAAAATTAAAAATTGAAGTTCAATGTCTCCTTAGAAAATTATCCTTTTTTTAACGGAAAAAAATTAATCATACCTGTCTACTTGACGATACGTGGGAATTTTTTTCTGTAAAGCGTGTTTTGAACAAAAAATAATGTATTTCATTTTTGGTTGAAGTTGCTGTTGACTTATATTTGGATGAACAGCGTATGCATAGATATCCACGGTCGGCGGAAACGAAATTGCATATTGCCTAAGTATTGCCCCTCAATAAAGACACATGAGCAGTCTCCTAATTATTAAGCCCAAGTTAATGCGTATAAAAAGTAAAAATATGCACTGAAAATGTTATTGAAAAAAATTGTTAACTCTAGATATAATTTGACATTCATATCAAATGTGAAAAAAATACAAATAATATGTGATAATTTTTAAATTATACTATATAGCTTGTTGTATATGCGGTAAAAGTATTTTTATTTATTCAATTTTAATTAATAAGATACAAAATAAATAACATAGCCTTAATGGCTAAAACGTAAACTCACATTTTTTCAATAATTCATTGATAATTTTTATATTTAAATTATTTCATTTTTAGTTTTAAGCTGATGTGTTTTTATTAAGGGGCAATATTTAGGCAATACTTGTGGTAGTAGTAAATTATTATATTAGTCTGAGTGTAATTTTATTGTATGTGGGTACCTACCGGTACAAGTAGTAAGCTTCGCGTACATACAACATGCAAATGTTAACGGCGCTGCCCACCGAAAATGGCAAGTGTGATTTTTTGTTGAAAACACGTTTTACAATAAAAATTCTAAYGCATCATTAATGGTCCGATTCATTAAATTTTTTTCGTTAAAAAGGGGATAATGTTTTGCAGGATGCATTTAAATTAGATTTTAGATTCTGAACGAAGTGATTTACTAGTCGAAAATAATGCTTCGATTTCAAACTTTGGTTTCCGATGTAAAATTGAAGATCCTTGGTGCATTATAGAGGTCAAAAGTAAACATTTTCCAACAGTTTTCAAAAAAATCGAGAAAAACAAAAAAAAAATGACAGAAAAA